GTGAATGTTTCATAGTGGTTAATAAATCAATTGCTGAGCTTCCTTTGAATTATTTTTCATTCTTTTTCCTCATAATACACATTGGTTCACATTCTTGTAGTGTAACTGAAGTTTGCCCTTAACCGCTGACTCAGACATTGTTGATATCAAGCCGACCAACATGGAGGAGCTGACAGAGGTGATCACGGCGTCAGAGTTTCACCCGCTCCAGTGCAACACGTTTGTGTACGGCAGCAGCAAGGGCTCCGTGCGCCTGTGTGACATGAGGGCGTCCGCGCTGTGTGACCAACACTCGAAATGTCCGTTTCTGAAGTTTCACTGCTCATTAGACACACATAATGACACTTTGGTTGATCTGAGCTGTAAACCTGTCAGGAGGACTTTTGTTGTCATGTAACTCATTTATCATGCATTTCTGTGCAGTGTTTGAGGAACCAGAGGACCCCAGCACACGCTCCTTCTTCTCTGAAATAATCTCATCCATCTCAGACGTCAAGTTCAGTCACAGCGGCCGATACATGATGACCAGAGATTATCTGACCCTCAAGATCTGGGACCTTCACATGGAGAGTCGACCGGTGGAAACCTACCAGGTGCTGTTTCTGTCTCTGAGGCAGATTTGCTCTTGAGAAAATAGTAATCCATATGGCTTTGGGTGTGCCAAAGCTAATCATTTTAAAGGATTAGTTCACCTAAAAATTAAAACTGTCATAATTTACTCAGCCTCATTGTTGCTCTAATTTGTATGACTGACTTCTGGGACACAAAAAGAGAAATGCTGAATATTCTGGTTGTTTTATCCATGCAATTACAGTTAATCTGGACTGAGGCTTTTAAGCTTATAAAAAGTGCTTTGAAAGTACCATAACATTTCATAATTCGATAGGTTGATCCAGTCTGAGTTGATTCATTCTCGAATCATGCTGATCTGGTTTTCAAATTCAGCTCACTGCAGCGGTGAACACCTTTCTGGAGAGGAAGTTTATCAATGAGTAACAACTGAAATCTAAGCTATTTTATGAATTCAGACCATTTCAGAAGAACTGCTTTTATGAAACAATGTTTGACCTTGAACGCTCTCTATAACTTATAGTTCTGTCATGACAACTCTCGGAGGGATTGGCATGGTAAT